GAGAGGGTCATCCCCACTCTTTGTATTTTGTTTATTTGCTTCATATGGCTCACGTTTGAGCATCTTTGATAAGCTTGTGTTAGCTTGTTCTTAGCTTGTATTTGTAGTTATTTTGCTGAGGCATACCACTATTTTTGCTTTCTTTGGTCACTCCATGCATGGTTGATACACTTGTAGTGTAAACCACACAAACTAGCTTTATGTGCTTCATGAAATAGCATGTCATTCTACCTTGTTTTCTTTCCATATCAGCATGTTTTCGGTGATGTTTTGCCATGTCATGACTCTGTTTTGGTTTGGTTTGGTTGGCCCTTACATGCTCCATACACTTGTAGTGTAGTTCCATAAACTAGCCTAACATGCATCATGTTATAACATGTCATTTTAGCATGTTTTTGGTTTAGCTCTGAGAAGACTTTTTTTTATGTTTTAGCATGTTTAAGGTCTGATTTGTGTTGTCTTGGCCATGCATGACTTGCTTTGTATAGCTATGATTCAATCTAGCTTGTTAGCTTTGTGTGTTGAGTCCTCTAGCATGCATTACTTGGACTATTTCAATGATTTAGCATCATTTATTATGTGATTTCAGTCCATGTTTTATGGTCATGCATTCACATTAAACACTCATTCAATGCATTGGAAGGTTTACCCTTTTATGCCTTAACATAAACCATTGTGTATGCCTTCATGCCTTAGCTTGCGAGCTCTTATTTCAGTGTATTTTTGGGGTTATTATGCCATGATATAACTCTGATTTTTATTGGTTAATTCATTCCATGCTTGGTCTTAATAGGTGTAGTGTAATCCACCTTATTTTTCTTGTATGCATCATGTCTTATGCCCTTTATGATAGCTTATTTTGGCTTCCTTCCATGCATGTTTTAGACTCATTTTAACATATTCTAGGACTGTTTTGGGTTACCTTGATCACATGTTTCATGTTTTGTATACTTGTAGTACAAATGCTCTTGCTTGCCTCAAGCTTTGAGCACCATTGCATGCTTCACGTGTGTTGTGTACATGATTTGACATCACTTAGCATGACATTTCAGAGCATTTAGCATTGCCATGTTCCTACATCAATCATGCTTTAAATGCCTTTGAGTGTTATGCATTGTTGCCTAGTTTATGGCTTAGCTTGTATGCTTGCATGCGTAGGTATTTGAGCCCTCATCTCAACATGTTTAGGTCCTTATTTTGACCTACTTGAGCTCTGTCTATGTTTAGTTCATGCATTTGTGCCATGTATTGCATGCCTCATGTGTAGTCCTCTTTGCTTGTCTTAAGCTTTAAGGACCATTGCATGCCATGCTTGTGTTGATTAAGTGATTTGGTATCATTTCTTGTCTAATTTCAGTGCACTTAGTGTTGCTACACTTCCATGCTTTTCACTCTTTAAGTGTTCTTGAGAGTTGCACCTTAGTGCCTTAGTTGGTGAGCCAATTGGCATGCATGTTTGTATGTGTTTTCGGTGCCTCCATTTTAGCATTATGGCCACTGTTTTGGCATGACTGAGGTCTGTCCATTTCGGTTTAAGTCCATTGAGTATATGGTTTGCATGTTGTTGCATGTTTGGTGCATTGCACATTGTTGCCCTTGTTGCATTGCATTGTGTATGCATGCATTACATTGTGTTAAGAACCCTCATGATTGCCTTGCATTGAGCATGCCATCTCGTTCTTAGCATTTAGCATTGTGTATGCCATGTTATGCCTTGCATTGTGTATGCTGGTTGCTAGTTGCATTGAGTATGCCATGTAGTTGCATGTTCGCATGCTAAGGTTGCATTACATGGCATTGTGCATGCCATGTTATGTGTTGCATTGTGTTTGGAATAGGTGTTAGTCCAAACACGGGAAAAGAGGGACGTTTCATACCTAAAGTGATGAATCGTGCCTTAATTCCCAGTCGCCGACGCTCTTGATCATACATGATAGAGTTCTAGGCCTTATGTGTTTACTTATGCATTTATTTCATATTGAATTGTGCAATTTCGCCTCTCGGCTATCATGCATTAAAATGCGCGATTGGTGGCCCGAGGGTTGAGAACCACACCCCTTTGAGTTCATGACATGATAGGGAGGGCTGTTGTGCACACATATCTTGCAAATACATTGCCATGCCCTTTCTTGCTCTTTATTGCAGCAAATTGCAGTTTAGCAGCAATAACTAGCCGGCCAGCCAGAAAAACTAGCTGGCCGACCACTTTTCTGGTTTTTTAACAACCAAAAGTGGTCAGCAGGTATCTGGAGAGACCAAAAGTGGTCGGCCACCCTCCTATAAGACTCTTAAGGTGAAGTTTCAGCTTTCTAGAGCTTGGTGCAAGTTTCTGAGAACAAATGAAAACAGAGGCAAATCAGGCATCGCATTGGATTTCTGAACGAGGCGACCGAGCATGCATCCAGTCTTCTCCCTCTGAGAACCTCCTGTTTTACTGCTTTCCTTAGCTGCCATGCTTAGATAGCTAGTTTACGCTTTGGTTTGTACTGTAATTAGTTAATGCGTTAGCTATTCAATTCGTTTTGTAATAATTAGTTAACTAGGATTAGTTAATTAATTTGTTATGTAATAATTAGTTTAATTAGCTTAGATTAGCTAGTTAGCTTCTTATTCGGTCTCTCCCTCGAGAGAGCCAAGTGTTGTAATAAGCGTGCGTGTGTATGATGTATGTCTTCCAACCCCCATTTCTTTCTCCCTTTTACTTAACCGCTTACGATGGTTAGTTTTAGGACATATTTCGTTTAGCATACCTTATGCTCGCATGTTTGCATCATTCTTCTGTACTGCATGCACCGGGCTCGGCGCATTATACTAACTGCATTGTATTTCAATACATTTATTTGAATACATGTATCAAGTTGCATTTCACATGACATGACTAGAATAGCTGAGCCTGTCTTAGCTGCATCTTCGCATGTGTTGCATTAGCCATCTTAACATGAACTAGGATTATGCATGATTTCTAACAAGTTCTTTGTTTTGGCTCGGAGTACACTGTGAGTGTTTACGTTTTAGAATACTGCATGTGTGTTAATGTTGCCATGTTAGCATGCTTGCCATGAGGCTAACTGATTATTTGCTATAACGGCCTGAATGCCTATGGGTGAAGGTTGGATTGCTTGAATTAGAACAATTCATTGAAATTCGCATTTTAGCCTACTTACGAGTAGCAAACTTCAAACCATTTTCTAAACAAACGGATATGCGATGCTTCGTTCCAAATTAGGTGATCTAGTCTATACTTGTTTGCTATGCGCATCACGTAGTAAGACTAGCTAATTAATCAGAATAAGAGCACATGTGTTTTCAAAAACAAGATATCATGCTTAGTACAGGCCGATCTTTGATTGGGCGAGCGGGGGTACTCATTAAATGACTTTCCCCAATCGTACCCAAGTTCCCGAGCCGAGGCAACTTTGGTGATGATGAACACGTGGCCTTAGGCACGAGTTAGGGTTTCCTAAATTCCTCCAAAATAAAATATTTAGGTGGCGACTCTGTATCTGGCAAAGCAGTCCATATTTGGCACTTCCTTATCAAAAATCAGTTTTCCAAAACGATTTGCCGGATTTGAACTCTTTGGTGATTTATCGGTATCACATCGCACATTGTGAGATTAGATTCAGAACCGTGACATTTGAGTCTGAATTGTGGTAAGCCCAAATGAATGAAACGGGATTTTTTCGGGACGTTCGGGCACGTCCACACTCTAATATTTAAGCCATACCACTTGTCATCCCTTAGTGGAACAAAATAATAATAATAATAACACAAAACTAAACCAAACCAAGTCTTAAATCTCATTAAATGGAATTGACAATATGAATCTTTATCATCCACTCAATTCTATCAAATGTCCTTTGGTCAGTCAAATTAAGGAGATTCATTTCTCTATTTACTACAATAGCCTCCGTCAATTTAGGTCTGCCATTTTCCCTAACACTTTCTTCTACCGTCACTGCATTGCATCTCTTCACTATTGCTTCTGTTGGTCTCCATTGTATATAACCAAATCATCTCATTCTATTCTCTTTCAACTTATCTTCTATCAGTGCTACTCTTACCTATTGACGAATATACTCATTCCTAACTCTGTCTTTTCTAATATTGTCACACATCTATCTTAGCATCCTCATCTCAGTAACATTCATCTTATTAACATGTTGTTTCTTAGTTGCTCAACATTCCGTCACATATAACATCACTTGTCTAATAGCTGTTCAATAGGACTTTCCTTTTAATCTAGTGGATACTCGTTTATCGCACAGTATCTTAGACATACTCCTCCACTTAAGCTACCCCGCTTTAATTCTATAGGCCGCATCTACTCCAATCTCCCTAATCGTTGTACTAATTGATCCTAAATAACGAAAATGTTCACTCTTAAGCAGTTCTTAGTTCTCAATCTTTATTTCTTATCTATTTCCATAATTATTATTACTAAGTTGCATTCCATATATTCTGTCTTAGTTCTACTTATCCTAAATCCTTTAGATTAACGTGTTTCTCTCTAAGTCTCCAACTTAGTGTTAACTTCTGCTCTAGTCCTATCCACTAACATAATATTATCTACAAAAAGCATATACAATGACATATCATCTTGAATATTTCTCGTTAACTCATCCATAACTAAAATAAAAAGATAAGGACTTAATGTTGATCCTTGGTGTAACCCTACAAAAATTAAAAATTCACTTGTCTGTTCAGCTAGCGATCTAATAGTGGTCAACACACCTTTATGCATTCTCATAATTTAAGAATAACAGTGGATAAGATAATCAGATCATTCAAATAATCAATCAATCGCTTCCAACTTGAAAAATAATATGGAAAAGTTGCATTATATCAACCCATAATCAAACCTAATTCAAAATAAACTCCACAAGACAACAAATTTAGCAATGACCCAAATAAGAACTCCAAATTACTAGTGTTGTGAAGCATATTCTAATCCAACAGCTAACCTCAACAATCACAAATTTTTGTCACAAAAATTCAAATTGGTAAATGAAGAATTCAACATAAAATTGGAAAACCAATTTAGACAAAACCTCAGACAACTCAAAACCCATGTCAATCATATCCTCACAAGTCCCTATATCAAAATTTATCAGTTACCCAGATGAAAAACTCAATGAGTATTGCATACTAGGGACCAAGAATCAAAATGGGTATGTATGGTTCTCACCAGAGAAAGTGCTCTTGACGAGCTTCTCAGACAAGCTCTTAGAAAGCTTATAATCCTTTGAGTTCTTTGATTTGTTGAAGTTTCTTCTCATAGACCCATCAAAATTCACAGGAAAACAACAATTCAATTTGCTCGTCTTTGTCCAATCGATCCATGTTTACAACAGAGACAGATAATCAAGGGCATGTTCCAAAAAATCCTAGAAATCAAAACATGTTTGGCCTAAGATATTTCAGGATATTTCATCAAATTCCTCACTCTCAAAAACCCTAGAAATCAAATCCTAGGATCATATACTAGGCGAAATCAAAGTGCATATCATAAACCCCCAAAACACTAGAAAGCAAGACCCTACCTGCTTTTCAAGTTGGACCCATTTGCCGTCGACCCACTCTCGATGAACCTGCAACTCTGAAACCCCCAACTCGATCTCATCAGGAGGGTTCTAGAAGGTGACTACAAACTTGGAATTGTTGAGAACTATGATGATGACACCACTCCACCATCCATCACGGTAAGATGCATCGATGACATCGTATAATTCGAATAAGGGAACAAGGTCACACTCTGAAACACTCTGAAGGAGGAGGAGGCAAAGGCCTAATGAAGTCGGGTTTGACGATTTCTCTCAAGGGGGAAAAGCCATCATCGTCTAACAAGCTCTAGTACTCGACGAAGAACTAGTCGTTCTTTTTCTTCGAAGAGGAAGATCTAGAAGAAGAAGGGGTATCTAGAGAGAGATTGAAACCCTCATTTGAGTTTTCTATGTTCATCCTTTATGAATAGAAGCCAAAAGTGTTAGTATATTTACAAGCCAAAAGTGTTAGTATATTTTGATAAATAATAAAAAAATTCTAATATATTTTTTTGATGATTGGCACTAGATTATTTTATTTTTGCACCTATTTTTTTCGGTCATACTATTCACGACAGAAATTGTGCATAGTGAAAAGTGACACATTTTTAATGTCTAGTATACGTGTGTCGTGTATATTTAATGTATCAACAACATGTCATATGCATGTCATAAATTTTTTTATTATTTACGACTAGCATTGCACGTCGTAAAAAAATTATCATTATTAGTATTAACAGACTACGTAATAGGCATGTCGTAGTTAGAATATTATTTACGATATGCAAAAAAAGAAAGTCGTAGAAGTGAAAGATTAGGACTTGCATTTATTGTATGTCGTTAATGTGATGCCGTAAAAACCCAGTTTTGTTGTAGTAGAAATAAGTGTTGAAATGTAGATATGGACATAATTATATATTTTGCAAAATATGAATATTCACATATCATTGGTTATTTGTTACTATACTTGTTGTTTGAGTAATCATTTTTTTTTTACCATTAAACAATTGAAATAGTCTCTTTTTTTTCTTTTTTTTTTCATTTTGTTTCATGTGGCAGTGTAAATGTTTATATTGGTATGAATTTAGTTTTGTTGGGGTTAGTTGTATGTTAATTATAAATTATGAATATTCACATTATATTTTGGTATGAGTTTTTTTTTTTTTTTTTGAAGTTTTTTTCGAAAGTTAGTTGTGTTTTGTTTTTTTGTTTTTTACTATACTTGTTGGTTGAACAATCATTTTTGTTATGATTTTTACTTTTTTCAATTTTATTTTATGTTTTCACGTTGCAGTGTGAATGTTCACATTGGTATGAGTTTATTTTTTTAAAAGAAAACTACTTATTTATTAATTATAAGTTGTGAACATTCACATTGTATTTTGGTATAAGTTTTATTTTTTCGAAAGTTAATTGTATGTTTGTTGTTTTTGTTACTATGCTTATTAATTGAACAATCATTTTTTCGATTTTTATTTTTTTTCAATTTTGTTTTATATTTTTACATTGCAATGTAAGTGTTTAAATTAATATAAGTTTGTTTTTTTATTTATTTTTTATTTTTTTAAGGCAAGTTGTATGTTAATTATAAATTGTGAACATTTACATTGTATTTTGGTATGAATTTTATTTTTTCGAAGGTTAGTTGTATGTTTGTTGTTTATTGTGAATATTCACATTGTACTTTAGTATGTGTTTTATTTTTCAAAAGTTAGCTGTATGGTTGTTGTTTATTGTGAACATTCATATTATATTTTGATTTTTATTCAGATTTTTTGTTGTATTAGTTTTAAAATTTTCAAATTATAAAAAGGTTTAAAGTTCATAATTTGAGATTTTCTCTATGGAATGTGGAAGAGATTTTCTCCTTAGAATAATGGATAGATTTTATCCATGGAATAATGGAAAGATTTTTTCTTTACAATGAGGGAGAGATTTTCTCCATAACATGAGAGATTATTGTTATGTATTAGTTTCAAAATAGAAGCATGTGCAAAAAAATTAGAAAATGTGATTTAGTCATATTTGTAGACGTCCCCGAACGCCCCGGGAGGGTGAGCTCCCGTTCCGTTCATTTGGGGTCACTACAGCTCAGGACTCTCAAATTTGTTAGATGGGGGATTTATCAAAAATTGACCCAAAATTAATTTGTGTTATATATGTAAAAAAATATTATGCAAATTAGTGTTATATATTATGTAAATGTTTGATAATTGGTTAGAATATTTTTCAATTCATCAATCTACCCAAAATCGCTCAAACCTCGACTTGCCAATCCGCCATTTGGTTTGTAATTTTACTCTCAAATCGTCTGTACCGCACCGCGAATACCCTTACTCCTCTAGTATTTTCCTAATCAACAAAATCTTGCTAAATAATCTAGTCAACCAAGCAACCACCTTCTTACCCAAATCTTTTTAAACTTCAATAAGGATATCATCAGGTCCTAAAACCTTATTGGATTTCATCTTCTTAAGTATAATCTCCACTTCAAAGCTTCTAATCTTGCAATAAAACCTGTAGTCATGATTTTTCTTATTACTAGCTACTTTCTCCCCTTTTGACATTCATGTTTTGCATTCAGCAATTTCTCAAAATAATTCTTCCACTTCTCCTTAATCTCTTCATCCTTCACCAACACCTTAGAGTCCTCTTTCTTAATGCGCTTAACCTGATTAAAACCTCTTATTTTTTCCTCTCTTATCTTAGCAAATATATATATATTTTTTTCTCTCCATCCTTACTAGCTAGTCTAGTGTATAGATCACATAGGCTTTCAACTTAGTCCCTCTCCCTATTTTTTGATCTCCTTATTAGCCAATCTGTAGGTCTTAAGATTTTTTTCAGTTCTATCATTCTGTTACTTTTTAAAGTATTCTTTTTTCGTCTTTAAAATATGTATTTTACCCTTCATGACCATTGTGTCTAAAATAACATACATTTCAACACTCATATTCCATATTGGAATGCTATTCAGCAAGATTGTAGGCCGTTTGAATGTTTTTTCTTCCTCTCTAGTGACAGTACAAACTAAAACGGATGGGCCGTCTAGTAAGGCTGGACATTGTGTTCAATGAAACTAGATCAGCCCAAACAATTCAATGGGCAGTCCATTTGTATTGTTATTGAACTAGTACCCAATAATTGCTCATTGCCTAGGTATATGCTGTAGGGGTGTTCGCGGTTCGGTTTGGACCCGCCCGCATTTATGCGGTTTGGGGAAAAGACAACCCGCAACCGCCCGCAGTGCGGTTTGCGGTTTGTGCGGGTAGGGTTCACGGATGTGCGGGCGGTTGCGGGCGGTTTGCGGATTGGACTTTTTGCTTCAAAAAATTATTTTTGAGCCTTATTTTTTTCTCATTTTGTAAATATTTATTTTGGGTCATTTTCTCCCCATTTTCTAAAATGCTCCAACATTAATAATTAATGAATTAAAACTTATAAAATTAAAAATACAACAAAATCAATTTGTAATACAAACAAATCATTCAAAATCTTAAATCAATTCATAAACTAACACAAGCATATATTTCAAAATCCTAAACTATAACTCCATATTCATTAAGGAATTTAAAATTTCAAATCACACTTCATCCGGGACAAGTTTAGTTATATAACAATAATAATATGATTAGTATTTATTCAGTTTCAGTTGATATAATATTATTAGCAAATGTAATGCTAGAGTAAGTTTAAAAAATAAAGGGTGTTTTGTTTTGGACAAAAATATTTAGGTGGGATATAAAAATGAAAACAATAGTTAAGATAAAAAAATAAATAAATAAATAAAGTGCGGGCGGTTTCTTGCGGGTGCGGGTTAAACCCGCAACCCGCCCGCAACCCCTAAAGACGCCATATTTCAAACCGCATCCGCCCGCATTGTATTTGCGAAACCGCCGATTTATGTGCGGATTGGGCGGGTTTGGCGGTTTTTGCGGATCGGATAAACCGTTGCCCACCCCTAATGCTGTGAACAAAAATGCTAGAAACTCTAAAAATCCTACACAATACTCACATAAATGTGAATTACATTCATGTGAATATTGTGTAGAATTTTGGATAATTTTTTTGGGATTTCTAACATTACTCTATTGTGAATGATGGGTCATGGAACATTAAAATATTTTAAGATACAATTACCAACCCAATCCTATGGATCAGACTTATTTACTCATAAGTTCTAAATGAATTAATTTGTGCATATTTGCCCCTTATTTTGATTATGTGTTTTTAAAAAAAAAAAAATAGATTTACCTTTTATATTTGTGGAATAATTATTTGGTATTAGTAGTGAGACTGAAAAGGCTGGACATTGTGTTCAATGAAACTGATCAGCCCAAGCAATTCAATGGGCAGCCCATTCATATTGTTATTGAACTAGTACCCGAATAGTTGCTCATTGCCTAGATATATGTTGTGAACATAAATGCTAGAAACTCTAAACATCCTACACAATACTCACATAAATGTGAATTATGTGAGTATTGTGTAGAATTTTGAATAATTTTTTTTGAATTTTTAATATTACTCTATTTTGAATGATAGGTCACAGAATATTAAAATATTTTAAGATATAATTACCAACCAGTCCTATGGATCAGACTTATTTACTCATAAATTTTAAATGAAATATTTTGTACCCTTATTTTGAATGATTTTTTTTTATTTAAAAAATAAATAAATAAAAAACTTTATAGACTTACGTCTTATATTTGTGGAATGGTGATTTGGTATTAGTAATGATACTGAAAAACTTATTAAGATGATAAATGATTGGGCCAGATTGTTTTTTGTTTATGAGTTTTAATTTATTTGTTAGTTTGAATTGAAATAGTGTGTACCCTTTTTGTCCATTTTCCACATACATTTGAGAAATATATACTATTGTAACATATCTGTTATAAAAAAATGTTTCTAATAATACTACAGTTATCATATTTTATACTATATTGTGCTTTATCATTTTATTTTGGATAAATTACATTGATAACTCTTGAGTGTTGGAGAAAATACAGTGAATTTTACAGTTTTGACATAATTAATACTCCTTTTAGTAAAGCTAAATATATTAGAACTAATGCATATAGAATGAAAAATAAAAAGACAATAAGGTAAAATATATATTGTCATGTAAAAGAGCTGAAAACTTTATTTATTTATTTATTTATTTTATCGATGTAATGTAACTATCAAATAAGGGAAATGTTACGGCATGCAACACTACGACAAAATTTTATAAAAGTGATCTCACAAAAATGTGTAAATTGAATACAAATTCACATAAGTTCATGAAAGCTTAAGATTTATGCGAATTTGTATTTAACTTACATATTTTTTTATAAGATTACTTCAAGAACTTACATAATTTTATGGTAGGTTGCATACGATGTACATTTTACATTGGAGAATTTTCTATCAAATTATTGATGAAAATATAGCTAAGTA